CCAATGGACAGCCTTGTCGTATCCCGCTGCTTACCGTTAGCTTGAAGGAGCTGTATCCATTGACCAATAAGAAGCCCGTGGTTCCGTGGTGAATGTTTTCTATCATCTAAGCGCTGAGAGAACCCGTACCGACGAAGAGTGGCGATGATGTAATCTCTGTTCAGGGAGTCGTAGGCTTTGGCGAAGTCGAGTAGTAGGGCGATTGGTCCGCTGGACATCTCCGTGCATGTTCCATGTTCCCGTAGCGCTGCGAACATATCCACTGCAGTGCTGAGCTGGCGTCCCGGTACAAAGTCGAATTGCCTCTTGTGAATGAGTTTCAGCAGAAAGCGCTGAAGTCTCGTTGCGAAGATCCTTGTGTAGATCTTGTAATCTGAGTTCAGCAAGGCAATTGGCCGATGGTCCAGTGGGTGAGTCGCTGTTATCGATTTCTTGATGCACTGAATATTCGCCTCGCCGAAGGATTTTGGAACAACACCAGCCTGTAACCAGTCGTTGGATAGCTTTACTAAAACCAAGACTGCGGTGAAAGTCAAAGAAGCTGGTATAGCTCCTTTCTTCGATCTAACTCGTCAGACATCTTGTAGGTCATACCGATATTGACACCTAGAGCTTTTATACCTGTCAGCCGTAAGCATTGATAATTTGGTGTAAAAGAGACTTGTACTTTTTGACATTGTGGTGCCGCATCTTCTCCGATGAATTTGAAGATATCTGTAAGTAGCAACAATCATCATCTGCAAAGCAGCACACCTCCTGCAGCGGGACTGCCGTAGCGAAACGCTTGAGGAAGCGTACTTTAGGTCACCGACCTTTCGTTATTTACAAGAACCAAGTATGAGTTAGCGGATCGCAATCCGTTTACTATAAGAGTGATTATGCCTTCCCAAGGCTAATCGACCCTTCGGTTTGAATTCCAAACTGGATTTTATTTAATATTTTTATCCTAATGTTAAAAGTTTAGATTTTCCTAATAAACTAAATATTTTTTTAGTAAAATCTAAATACATGCATAACTACTGGCTCCCTAGCCCCCTACCGTATTCTTGTTTGGGTGTGGTCACACCACGCACATCTCGTGTGACACACACACCTCTGTTATTAAGGTTCGTGTAACCCCGTTACACCTCCTCGGTAAACTATAAACGACTGATACAGACACCGGGATGTGCTCGATCGTGAAGATAGGAGTTTTCTTCGTGTTCAGACGCGGTAGGTTTAAGGATAGCCTTAATGTCATAAACGATAAAGTGGCCGATTTGTTGGTTAGCATCCTTGATTGAGGACTTAGCAAGCAGTGATCGTCTTGCGCTCTGACTTGTTTTTTAGGGAGAGAACAGCTGGGAAGCTTTCAATATTCATGATCTCCTACTGATTCTTTTTTTCGGTTATTAAATCTTTCAGCGCTGACAAAGCCCATTTCCTATTTTGGATCTTAATACATAGCCTGAAGCATATCGATGTTCTTGTTGTCAGCCTAACAGGATCAACAAATATTAAATCCCCTTAAAAGAACAATAGCGCTTGATAACCTCATCGTCTGAACCTCAGTTTTCCAGAGATTATTACCATTGGTCTGGAATGTATGCCAGACAATACAGTGGAAGATGCACTTGTTGGTGGTCTCACAAGCTTGTTTTTGCGATTAATCTTAGAGACGACAGATTCGCCCTCTCCGAGCGAATTCTCGCGATTGTTGATGAAAATGTTGAGAACAGTAATCGCCTTGGGTTTATATCCGGAGCTGGGGTAGTCCAGTCTGGTAGCCGACACCACAGCACGGATTTCCGAAATCACCTTCTTTTAAGCAACTGCCTTGCTATTGATAGCGATAAAATTATTGAATACATGAATTAGCGAGTGTCGTCAGGATTCGTGTTGCTTATAAGTTCGTATACGAGAGCAAGATTTATCGTAAAAGCACACATCTGAGCTAAAATGATGCCCCCGAGCTTGTTGTAGAGACCAGAAGGCTCAACAACCTCGTACAAATGAGATTACATGTGATTACCAGTGAAAAAAGGTAGATAAGATCAGCCTTGTACTCGGGCGACCAGTGTTTTTGAAGCCTTTCACTCAAATCATTGTACTGCTTGACTACTAATCTCTTGTTGATTAGACGCAAAACGTTGCTAACATAATCTATCTTGCCCATTCTACCACGAACATTACCACGGTCGGTACTAATTTACTTAATTGGTTGGATATTGAGTCGCTCGAATTTGAATACAAACATGAATCGTCCTAACATTGTCATATATCCACCAAACTACCCTGCCGTAATAAATTACAATCTGGTCGATAAACCATTAAAACGGACGAGGGAACGTAGATGCACCACGGTTAGCTTTAAACACCGCAAGTAAACTTGGTCCGCTGGCCCTCGTTTGTCACCGACAAATTTCTATTTATAGTACCCACGCCAAACCACACTCCTAGGCTTATCTGAGTTCGATTTGTTAGAAAAATGAAAGATTTTTTATTATAAAAAATAGATGTGTAACGCATCATTTTTTTCAACAGTATTGGATAGCGCATCATTCCAACAATATTGAGCATCGAAGAGGTCGTGGGCAATAAAAAAATAGAAAGACCTTCTGTTAAACGCGATGCGTTTGGACTAGGTTTGCTGGTCAAGAATATGTACGTATTGAACTTCGCGAAGTCATAATTAACCGTAATAGGTGACCTCGTCCAACTATTTGCAATGCACAATGAGGAAAAACGAAGGCCGACATCGATACCAAGTCTAAATTTAGCGACGATGGCAATTGTTATTAGAAAATCGTCTGAGTCATCGAATGAAAGTTAAATAATTTGATAGCGTGAAATGCTGTTTTGTTTCAAAAATGAAATCCAAGCATAATCTTATTTCAGGTATATCCAGTTTGACAAGCCGGAAACCATGAATCGACTGCAAGCCGAATAGGTTAGGTGCCATGCAGATTTTTCCGCGTGAAACTTCGGATTACATTAGCGACATATGCTTGAAAGCGAAAATAATTTTGGTGTGTAAATGAAGCTGCAGTAGTTTGGTGCAGGACATGGTATTGATTGTTTGGAAGGAAAGCAGCGGATCTGTTCGTAACGTTGAGGAAAGCTTGGAAGGCAAGACTGGTTGCTTTCAAGTTCAAGATAGTATTCGATTGATAGAGAGATTAGCATTTGAAACCTTATTTGTCAAGGTCACAAGAAATGCTCTATGTTGGGACAGAAAGACAGTTTTGCGCCAGACCTATCAAACTTTTTTTTCTCAGAACATATCCCATTTTTCGATATACCGCGATCTCCGGAATTTGACCATGATCAAAACAAATAGAGTCGGAGGTCTATCAGGACATATACGTGAGTCACAAGTACAAAGATCAGACCCTGATGCCACTTGAAATGGTCGATTCTTGTCACAAAGCGACGTTACATCTGGGTCAACAACACCAAGTGACGTGCCTTCCGTACAACACAAAACTTCACGAGTTTGTGACGGTAAAATTTATGTCAATATCACTGATGTGACCCTAAAATACCTGAGGATTGCAATCTATATACTATACATTAGGCTCCAGCTCATGAAAAGCCAATTATACTATCGCCGGGGGAGTATAAAAGTATTTACGGCACATTATCATCAAAGAGCTGATATTGTTACAATTCAAGGATGAGATGGACTTATCATCCGTCACTAATGGTCACAAAATTTGGGAGATTCAAAAACTGGTAGAGCTCAGACTCCACTTTATTTTCCGCGATTAAACCTTTTCTTTCACACGGTCGAATACCAAACACTATTACAGCAAGCACTCAATCAAGGATCGATATGATCCCGAGTGCATCATTAAACGACCCTCTTTCCTTGAAGGCGACGACAGTGACAAAAACGTTACTCTTAATGCGCATGGGCTGTCGATATACTTGAATTTTTTTTGACTGGATCGTCTTACCAGGTCATCAATGTAGCAAGTCTGCGTGATTATATGTATTTTGATGGACCTATGTGGTCGATCTACATGCACATAATAAGCTCCACCTTGTCGACTCCTCCTTCTTGAATATATCGTCTTTGACCTCAATGATCTCTTCGCTTGTTTTTCTGTGACAATCTCGTCATCCACTTATAGTCCAACGTAAATTAAGTTCATTCTGCCAGCGATAGCCTGACACAAACCCACTGGTCCCATCCGCAGCC